GCTATCAGAGAACCCTCTGAGACTGGAGGACAAGGAGTGCCTTGTTCCTGAAAGCATGTCAGTTTGGAAACAGTGCTGATACTGGCACTGCTACAACAGGTACAAGTGCTGTCCAGCTTTGGAACTAATTGATTTGTAACCAGTACATACAACAAAACTGTCCTTGGTTCTAGCCCTAATCTGAAGTACTTGAGGCTAATATTTGTTCTTACTCACATGGGTTGACCAGGCTGACTACAGGTGGTGACTGGAAAGAAGCTGTCATATTTTCAAAATAGCAGGTTATCAATTGGCTTATTTTCTAGAGAACCTCACAATATACTTTCTCCTATCTCTTAATGAGCCTGGAGTGCCGAAGGGCAGCTCCAGCCTTCTGGCATGTCCATTAGAGCAATCAACACAAGGCCTTTCCTGGTTTTGGGTCACAGAGGTGGCAACTGAACAAATCAGGTAAAATCCTTGTAGGAGAACAGAACTTGATTTTGCACTAACCTTTGCATCCATCAGATCGTAGACTGCTGTGGAAATTACCTCCTTACTTATACTAGTCAGAATTCCATTTAGAAGATCTACACATTCTGTGGGGGTAATAAAGCATTTAAAATATCACATTCTGTATGAAAGCTTCTATATATTTAGACATCAGCATGTTGCAACTAACTCTACTATTATATTGAGAAGCTATATGAACTAGACAAAATCAGTTTAACACAACCTCCACCTCATACTTCTTGGTTTTCTCTTTGACCTGATTTTAAAGAACAGTTCCAGTCACATGAAAATCATATTTTCTTAAATGTTCACACAGATGTATGAACTTAATTGTAAAACATTTACTCAGGACTCAATAAATCCATCACAATAAAGCTAAATGCAAATTGCTTCCTCAGCACTCCAACTTCAGAAGCCCTCAAATATCACAATTTTAACATTTCCTAATTATCTTTTTAAAAACAGATGCTAAATATAACAACTCCGCTAAAGCAGACAATGATAGCACACTTCAAAGGGAGCTAGTTATACATGGGAATTGAGAAATGCTTAAGACTGTTTGATCTTTCTTCAGCTAGTGTAAATATATACAGATTTGTGTATATAAACTATAATTCCTTTATTTTTTCGTTATGCTAAACACGGTTTTGGAGACAAGTCAATTTCTGGTAAGAAGTTTCAATCAGAAGAAAAATCCAAGGTGCTCTGATGATCTGAAGAGCACTCCCACCTCAGCTGTGCTGCCATCTACAGTGCTAGCATAGTGTTCCTGGAAAGACTATCCCCGTTACGGGTCCTGTGAGTGCTACCTGCAGGACGTGGTCTGGAATCTGGTTCTTGATGCCAGCACAGAGCAATAAGGTGCAATAGTCTATTCCTCTCAGGAAAATTGCTTGGTATAAACTTTTCTGAAAGGCCAGGCCGCAAACTGCGGCAGATTCCTGTCAGAACTTCCAGCAGGGTTGTTTGACCTGCAATGTAAAAGAAAATGTCACTGTAAAAAATATTAAAGACGTCAGAACTCTCTTTAAGTTACGTTCAGCAGAAGCCATATTGTGCATTTTAAAACAAAGTCTGCTTTTTAAAAAGCAAAAATGAATTAACACTCTTTTACCATAGCCTTTAACCACAGCTATAGCTCTTACTGATTGGAACAGGACCTTTCAGGATAAAGACCTCTGTCCAAATACCGAGTCCCAGATGGATATATAATGGATATATGAACTCGCATTGTAAACCACATGCACAGGTACCTGTGATTATTCTGAGCAAAAAGCCTTCCTCCTGCATTCTGAGAATAGAACTCCTACTGCACAGAAACCCTCTGCTTGGAGCAGCCTCAGGGTGGCAGCCACAAGCTGTGCAGACATGAGATCTTGTTCTGAGCAGTATTTTTCAGAGGTCCTCAGTCTGCAGAATGCAGGAGGCCTTCAATCAGTTTTGCCATGCAGAATGAAGCCTCTCACTGATCTCCACTGCCACGAAACAGAGATCATTCCTAGCTGCTTACATTTTCATCTAAGTAAGATGTCCTGCTTCCTTAGGAGGATTCAGCATGAACTGACAGTTCTTGATTGCTGTTTAAAACTCATGGCAACTTTAAAAATGAGCCTTATGCTCATCCAGTTAGCTACCTGACACTTAATAACTGACAACTGTGAAGTGATAATCCTCCTCACTAAAGGGAGGTGGAAAAGCCAGCTCAGTGACACAGAGCTTCAGCAAACACAGGGAGGGAGCTGCTACAAATGAGGGAAGAAAGATCAGCTTTGGAAACACTCAGGGTTTGTTGAGAAATCCTAACCTTTCCATCCTGTAATGTAGAGCTTTGTGCTGCAACAGGAAGAGAAGGCAAAGGGACATCTGAAAAGACAGTGCTGTTTGTATCGTAATTTCCCTAAAATAAGGAAATTTGTGGACAAGATTCGGACAGTACAAAGTCTGACACGAACAGCAGAGATAAATACCTCCAAAAGGTTTCTGTCTGCTTAGGCTCTCCCAGCACATTATTCCAAAACTGAAAAAAAAACCAAACCAACAGTGAAAGACCATTCATTAGTTTGCAATCTGTATCTGTGTTCTCATTTCCAAGAGCAAGTTTATTGTTTTAAGAAAAAAGAGTTTTTCAAGACAGTGTACCCAAGTCTTTCCTAATTTGATTTTTTCAGTTCTCAACTGAGCTGCTCTTATAAAATAATCAGTTAAAAATTATTTTTTTTTAAAACATAGGTTCAGTTAGAATTCCATTTCAGGTTACCACCTTATCTCCATTTGCTCTTGTGAATTTTGAAATATTTCGTTCTCTTTTCTCTTTTTTCTCTATTTTTATTTTGCTTTCAAGTAATTTCAGTAGCAACTGAAAGAGCTGGACTTTTCAGCAGGTACCAACAAGCACATCTATTAACCTACAAAAACTTGATTCTGATGTGTCTGTTTTCTTCAGCAAATTTTTATAGGGCTCCAAATACTTTTTTGCTTTTCTAACATCCTTGGAAGAATTCCAGTGATACCATAGATCTATATAACCCACAACTCTAATGGTATAAAATACAGTTGTTTGATAAAAACATTAATCTGCAAAATCAGAGGTAGAAGAGAGGGGGCTGCTGAAAGAGAAAACAGGCTATGGATGAGTCAGAAGCAAAGCAATCAAAAGGGGAAGAGGCAGTTCTGGGATAAACATATCTACTTACTCATACCTTGCTTTAGTGATGAATTACAGTGTTTGAAAGAACCCCCTCTTCTGCCTTATTTTCACATAGAAACCTGGAAGTGCTTTTACTTATACTCTCTAGGAAATATTAATATACTGTGGACCTACATGTAACTTAAATGCACTTAGTATTTCATATATGACAGGTATTTTTGTTTTCTCTGTTGTACCACTGTCAAGATACACACCTATCTCATGCACCTGAGTCCCATCTGAGCATAGCATTGTATATTATATAACAAATACATATGTGGTACACTGTATATTTTATATAGTATATATTATATATGAATGAAAGGTTGGAAAATTACTTATGCTACCAGACAGTAAGGCTCCATTCTTCCTGTGCAAAAATCTTGTGTTTGTGAACAACATCAGATTAGCCCCATCATTTATAGGTCTCCTCAAGTGCACGAATTATTTGATTCATCTTAGAGCCGGCCTTCTTGATAATAAAGCAGGAGTTTAAATTTGTTGGTTTCCTAAAAGCAAACTGATGGATGTCCATCCAGCCCACGGCTGTGATTCGAGGTCCTCTCATTTACTGAGGCAACCCCAATGCATGTGACACACCCAAAAGGGACATGTGGCAGTAGATGATCTCTCTCGTTTGTATAAATCACTTTGTTAAAAGGTATGAATGCTTGAGTGGCTCAGTAAGTTATTTCACTGAGATTCCACAGGACCTTCATGGGACACTATTGAGAGAAAGGTCTCATTTTTATCTGGGCCTCTCTAGGTATAAACAGCTCCTCCTGAAACTAAAGCCAAAACCAGTTCACACTTACAAACTGAGTGAAGCAGTGAGGAGGTTTCTAAATATATCTGAAAGTTTTGGCAGCTATGTTCCACTTTTAAAACATTTAGGTCCATTATGTAAATATTTATGCAACTGACTTTGAGAACAGTTCCTAACCTTGGTATCTTATTCACCAAATATGGGGAATTTTAAATGTAATTCACTGCTGTAATTGTCCTCATGTGAAATACTATCTCACTGCACTGTGTAGGTCTGGCATTTTTACTGTAATGCCTTTGAAGAGAAGTATTTTGGCAACATTGTAGAGTGCAGCCTGGACTAGGTCTGACCTGCCCTTAGAAATTCCACTCACCTGTAAATATCCCCTTCCTGGGAAGGAGGGCCTCCTTCAAGTATTTCAGGAGGGAGGTACACTAAATCCTGGCAGTTCCTCTGCTTCTGCAGGTCTGACCTCAGCTGCTGTTTCCTCCAGTTGGTTAGACCAAAATCTGTTATCTACAGAGAAAAAAGAATTTTAGTAACAGTATGTCAAGTCTTGGTACTAAATATTGACCATTAAGATAAATAGATGCCATTGGATTTCACATTGATAGATTAAAGTTGAAGCCCCTACCTTGGCTCTGAACTGGACATCCAGAAGCACGTTGGAAGGTTTCAGGCTGCAGTGGCAGCAGGCAGGTTCCAGGCTGTGGAGGTGATGCAGACCTTCAGCCACGTCTGCCAGGATCCTTAGGAGGATGGGACACGGGAGTTCTGGGTACAGCTGGTGCTGAGTTACACAGAACACAGGGTTTGGTGGGAATTTGTGACTACTCAATTTTCTAGGACAATAAACAGAACTACAAAACAGAAGCGCAATCCAGAAACTGAAGAACAGATTGCGACCGTAATTTACATGCTGATTGTTCTTTGTTGGCTGATCTTTTAATTAATTTTGCCACCTAGAAGATGACACATTTTATCTACCTCGTGGATGAGCAAGTGCAGGGATCCATTGCTCATCCATTCAGTCACTATCCCCACAAGTCCGTGGCACTGGTAAATCCCAAGAGGAGGCAGGAGGCGTTCAGACTCATAACACCTGACACTTGCTATATCCTGAAGTAGCAACTTCCACTCCCTGGAAAAGAGATAGAGTTCAAGGCAGGTTAGACAGAAGGAGTTTCAGCTAGAGATGGGATACTGTAGGGTTTGGAAATGAGAGAGAACCATGTGGCTGATCACAAGCCAATAAACAAATGTTATGTAATCTGCCAAGCAATTCTAAGAAAATGAAGCGATCCCTTGTGTAGTGTATTTTTGCAATATAAAGTGAAAGAGCTCTGGATGCTTTAACATGAACATAAGAGTACAGTTTGAAGTGGGATTCAAGTGTGAAGGCAGGAGAAAGCTTGTATTGTGTCGTTTTGCTGTGACATTCACATTTACCAGGAAATGATGTTCTTCCATGCACATCTCACTGCACTGTAATCCTGCCCAGTACCCCCCTCCTGCCTGAACCTGCCTGTGCCCTCACCTGTACATGCTGGGGTTGATTAAATGCAGTTGAGATCTCTTTAGGGACCTTCGGAAAGTTAATCCCGTACCATGCTGGTATTGCTGATCAGGGTTTGTATACATTATTAGAGTACCTAATTAATTACTTCAGGAGTAAGCTCTACTTGTACAGAAAGCTGTAAAAACCCCTTGTTTCTCAGTAAAAGTGCCTCCAGGCTGGCTCTTGGCTGGTCAGGGTTTCTGGGGCTAGAGATGTGTTTGGGGTTCAGCTGATCCTGGCCATGCTGCCCTTCCCTCCAGTGCCATCCCTGCAGGTTCTGCTCCCCGTGGGTGTGTCCTGGCAAATAGAACACCTACCCCTCTGTAGTGTCCTGGCTGCCCAGCAGCTTCACAGAGATGTGAGTGTTCCAGGGAGTGTGAAAGGCTTTGAGTGCGAAGCCTGAGCCTGTTCTGCTCAGGGTGAAGCTTTCCAAATGTTCCGGGGCTACCACAGGCAGCGGATTGGCCATTTCTTGGTGGCTGGGTTGAGGGGAAAAGTGGGAGAAAAGAAAAAAGTTTTAAGAACTACTTTTTGTCACTGCTACCAAAGCACAGGGAAGCTGCACCACCCCTTACTTCCCTAATAACTAATGCAAAAGCCTTCCTTTCACCACTCAGTGTCAGAACTCCCTCGTGCAGACAGCAAAAATGCACTAATTGCCAAGGAGTGTCTGGACCTACCTTGCCATCTGAGGCTGCAAGGTGCTAATTAATTGCTCATCATTGTTTCCATCTGATGACATTGAAATGTTAGGCCATTATTTATAACAAAAATTGTGATTTTAGAGCCACTGAATTTCTGTGGACAACAAACTAGCATCTTACAGTTAGATGAAAATTATTCAATAACACATCAGCATGTTCTGCATCATTCTTGCATATCTTCTTTAATAAATTACATGTGAATGCAAAAGCAAGGTAAAAGGCAAATTTTCTGCTGTTGTAGACTGGCAGAATTCTGATAAATGTAGTTGTGTCTGTACAGCAGGCACTAATTTGGCCAGTGCAGTCTCTGTCCAGGGCCTGTCTCAGACACTCTGCATGGCAGCACACCTGGATTAGACAGGACTTCTGCAAAGCATCGCTCTCTTGCTGTGTGAGTACCATTTTTAGTTCTAGCTGTGAAACTCCATTAGACTAGAGGTAACAAAGTTAGTGGTGAGGGAGGAAAACAAGCACTTTTCTAAGAAAACAGGTGGCATGAAACCATTGGTAAGGGTCACTGCAAAATCAGGAGTCAGTGGATCACAACTCAAACTGTAGCTCAGTAGACCTGGGCTAGAAAAGGAATGAGGTGAGAGGGACTGAAGTAACTGTGAAGGACTTCTGAGTGTGAGTTGTGCTCTACAAAAATAGTTCCTGGGATGCAGAAGGCCTGAAAGTCTTCTGACTTTGAGCAGATAACTTTTTCTCCACAACTGAAACAGAAACCAAAACCAGGAGACAAATTAGCCCATGATCTTGGCTGAACTTCTTGCTCATGAGCAATTTACTTTTGGTTAACCTCAGTCTCTCCCTGCAGGCACATCCACAACCAGAGGGGTACTAAGCTCAGTTTTGCGTCTAACCATAATCCAAATGCAAACAGAAACGCAGCAGCTGATTTACCAGCTGCTCTAAGGGCTTCCTTAAAGAATAAATCCAATATGGTGTGAGACTGGCAGAATTTAACAGTTTCATAAGATTTCCAAACGTTCCTTTGAATGAATTTCCAAATGAGCCATTTATCCCTTAAAGTTGCGAAGACAGATGACACAGATATATCAGTCTTAAATATAAAGGAGGTAATTAAAGGCTGTCAGGAGCAAAATTATGTATAATTTTTATTATATACAGCAATAAATAATAATTTAAATGGCCATAAGGATGTACTCAACTCCAAACACAGTGCAAGGAAGATTAAGTAATGAATTTAGCACCTAAACCATTCCTGAAAAAAGTTATTTTTATTTAAAATTGAATCAAATAAATGCTAACTGGGTACTTAAATAAAAATTAAAGCTAATCATTAGGTCCTATTTTGGATTTGCAAAACTCAATTTAACTAGGGGTTTTTAAAATGAAAATGAAAACAACTTCAACCTTTATAGTTACAAACCATGTCATGACATGCCAAGCACCATTCTCCCTGTGTCTGAGTTTGCACATCTGTTTCTATACCTCAACATCAGGTGATTTGCTGAAAACCTCTAAAAGAGTTGAAGCCTTACATGAGAAATATTTTATTTATGCAGGGTGCTACCCACATTCCTAAAGCACTTGGAAGTTCTGATCACTGAATATGGAACTGTCGTGGAATTACAGATATCAAAGTCTCTCTGTAACCCCAGATTGCAAGGTACCAAAGACGTTTTTTCAATAGTTCTGCTCTTTTGAATGCTTTTTCTCCTAGTTCCTTTTAAAATCTCACTATCAAATCCCCAAACCAGTATTCCCTGGTGACCTATGCAAGGAAGAGTTTATTATTATTTTTTAGTGAGACACTAAACTTCTCAGATAACTTCTCCATTCTGCCCCAGCTGTGCGGGCAGGGGCATGAGGAAGACTGCTATAAAGCTATTAATTTCAGGTTTCTAATTATAAAGTAATAAAAAAAAATAACTCATAGCAAAGATATTTCCTTAGTATGAGAGAATCTCTATTTAGTGTATACAAATGTCTCAGGAGAAGAAACTGGAAATAAAAATAAAAAACTTACCTCTGGAAAGAGAAACATAAACCGTGTGGAAGGATGGAGTGAAACTGCTGCAGATAGCAAGTGTGAGTGGCTTTGGACTGAATTCAAACACAGCTTTTCCTGCCGGTGAGTCAGTTCTTTGTCGATGTGTCCTTCTATTGGCTGCCTGGGAACATTTGGTGTTTCCTGGTCGGGTACACAAACTGTAACTCTTTAGTGACTGCAGATGGGTGCAGTTACAGCAAAAGAGGCTGGATAGCTGCTTTTCCCACACCCAGGAATAGCAGGGGGGAAGCTAACAGAGAAAACCACCTTGCTGGACCCAGCCCAGGCTGGAACAGGGCAGAGCTGTGCAGCTGATGCTGATCTCTGCAGTGGGTCAGCTGACAGCACAAGTGAAAAAACCCCTAAATTCTTCAAACCAAGTTGATCTCAAAACAGGAAATAAATGCTGGTTTCTGGTAAGAGCGTAGGCAGGCCCAGGGGTGAGGCTGGGTTACAAAGAATTGGCTGTCCAATAGCCCTGCTCGAGGATGGGGGGGTTATGGCAAGCTGGTCATCAGCCAAGTGTGCTCTCATCACAAGTGGGGAATGACACGCTGGACTACATCAGAAATGCAGTCAGGAAAGTGAGAGGAGTCACCATGCCCCAGTACTCAGAAATAGGGCAGCTGCAGCTGAAATACCAGAGGCAGCTTTAGGGCTCTCAGTTCAAAGAAAACGTGGACAAACTGGAGAGGATGAAGTAGACATCTCCCAGGATGGGGCTCCAGAGCACACACCTCACAGCCAGGGGCTGAGGGAGCCAGTCTTGCTGAGGCAGCTGCAGGAGGCTGAGGGGATCTCAACGAGAACCCTACAGCTACTTAAAGGTCAGGTATGAAGATAGAAACAAATTCTCTCCATAGTGGCATAGGCAGATGTCTCTAATTCAGAAGTTCAAGCCAGAGGCTAAAAACACCTTCACTGTTGGGTAGTGCAGTACTGGAATGGGCCACTCAGGCTGCAGAGTCTCCATCCTTTCAAAGCTTCTCTAGACTTTGCTAGACAAAACCATGGCTGACCTGATCTAGCACTGCTGGTAGTCCTGCTTTGAGCAGGAGGCTGGGCTAGAAAATGCCAAAAGTCCAGTGTATTTTTAATTTTGTGAAAACCCTATGAGGCCTAATCGTGTTCCTGCTTGGCCCCCGACATGTACATTCCCACTGAAGGTTGGTGGGGCTGCTGGATGCAGCAGGATGCAGGAGACTTTAGGAAAGAGCAGTCCTTTCAGCTGATCAAATTTCTGCAAACTTTCTGCTCCTTGAAGATGTTCTATTTATAGAGACTGACATAAAACCAGTGTCAGTGAATGAAACTCTGTCCACACAGTTCTGTTGGTTTTGGATCAAATCCTAACCCCCCTCCACAGGGAAGGAGGGAGGAGCAAGGCAGTTACCCAATCCTCCCATGATCATGGGAAATTCCCTTACATCATAGAATCCTGTGGCTGTGTGGCCTGAGAGGGAGCACTGCAAGTGAGAAGTGTGCAGTGGGTTATCTGCTGACAGCTCTGACCAGCAGCAGCATTCTCTGCCCAGCACACCCCTCCAGAAGTGAAATCAGTAAGAGGGAGCAGTAGTAGCAAAGGTTAAAAAAGTGGGCTGTAACAGTCCCAGAGAAGGCTGGAAGCATGTCAAGTTGTTTTGTTGTGCCACAGGATCCTCCTCCCCTCAGCTTTATCCACACCACATTCATTTTTGTCCATAGTCTACGCTTCCCTAAAAATTACATTAAAAATGTTTTCCCCTGTATAACATATGGGCTGTCAGGCTCAGACTGAATCACAACTGTTCAAAATCCTTTCAGCCCATTAAAGGAAGTTCTTCAGGGGAGCTTTGTAGATGAGTTTTAAGGATGCCATTTTACAGAAATTCTTTGACTTTTAGGTACTTCTGTATTTTTAGATTACCACATGCTGGGGAAACAGAGTACTAGAACAATTCTGCATTTGTTTACTCCTTTTGACTATTGTTTTCAGCTCAAAAAATCCCCTTCAGTATGAAACTATAAAGCTTAATTTTAATCCATTATTAGAGAAACCAGAAATATACAGGCCAAGCAGTGCAGGTCTGAACTAATTAAACATCATTATTATTGAAGATGTTAATTAAAAAACCCCAGTATTTTACCTATACATAATTTATCCAGAGAAGTTTAAAGCCTCTCTCATAATACAGAAGCTTTGAAATAACAGGCAGGGAAAAACCTCTATAGGCTCCCACAAGGACTGTCTTGGACAGTAATTAGTTAAGAAAACAAAAGTTTAGTTTGACTGTAAGTTGTTGAGTTACTTTGGATTTTGGTTTTCATTTTACTGATGTAAAATATTTGGAATCAGGCCTTCCAGCAAGGACTAATGAGTAAGACAGACACTGAATCTTTCCAATCTGCTCCTCACCGGGGTCTTTCCTTGCCATGCAGAAAGCTGAATATGGAGATAGTGGAGAATACAGATGAGAGTTGCCCAAAGCAGCAGCTTGATGCCTGGAGTGTGCATGTTATTGTCAAGGACAGGGAGGGACAGCTCCTCTGGAAACACCACCGAGGGCACTTCCAACTGTATGGGAGAGGAAGCAACAGCAAACAGAAAGGTAATCTGATCTGAGGAGCGCTTAAACTGATCATGAGGTGAGTGCCTGCAGGTTTCCTTTTAGTGAGAGAATGCAGCCATCACAGGAGGACTGGCATTACACACACAGTGTCTGGCTGTAACTGCAGGAAGAATTCAGAGACAGTATTTCTAGATATTATTTCTAATATGTGCATTTGTGCGTGCTAAATGACAGCACAAGTCTATCAGAAGAGTCACAGATCTCAAAGAATCCAAAGACCAGTTTTTATTTCATTCAGGAGACAAACAAAACTGAGCATCAGAATGTCAAAGAACAAACAGTAAAAATCCACCATATTTTAACTTTTCGAAGCATCCAAAGAAGGTCTTTTAAAACCTAACCAAAACAATGCAGAAAGAACTAAAACATTTGCTTTTCCAATCCAAACTTATTTTTGTGGCTCACTCACAAGCTAAGACAATGCATAGTGAACATAGATATGTTCTTAACATCTTTCCATCTTAAAAGTAGGAATAATAGTGATACCTAAAGGATAACACAGTTTAAGATGAGTGGTTTATCAGTCTCCTCATAACAGTCACACAGACTGAGCTCAGTAACAATCAAATTTAGAACAAAATGAGGGGTTTACAAGCAGCAGCATTAAAGGACTGCAGCACAGTATGCACAGTGAAAGAATGACACAGGACCAGAAGATCAAAGCATTAAGATGACCCAAATACCAAAGCCACTGGTGCATCATCAGTAAACACTACACTTGGATATTTCAGCAGAGTTCCCAGCATCATTTCTCAGTCTGGTTTTTCCAGTTAAGCATATGTGCAGAACAACTGTTGGCAAAGAGGTTGGTTCAAAGGGCTTTCTTTGGCATCTTGTCTGTCAGGAGGCCTTACCAGAAGCTGGCATTAGACTGCTGTAGGATTCAGATCTGTGGGTTACAAATGCTGTGTAGTTCATCTTCACAAACCTAAGCTGCAGTGCATGAGTGCAGCCAGTGATACGGTCATGGCAGGACTCCAAACTCCAATACCTGCCCACTGTAATGGGATACTTTAAAATACAACAAATGATGGGGTTCATTTTCCATGTTATGGATTTGAAGTTGAACTAAGGCTTCCTTTTCTTTTTTCTTCTGTTTTCTGTTTCTTCAAATGCCCATACCATGCTATTTTGGAAACTATTCTTAACATTTATCTTGTCATCAGTGAATGACTAAACAGAAGTATCACAGCTTCTGGCCCTAGGCAATTTCCATAGGATGAGCAGTGCCAAGCACCTCTGCTGATTAAATTGTGCCAAAGAAATGTGTTAATTCTTTATCCAGCTGTTTAAATAATGAAGTCTTAAATGGGTATCACATAATGATTCGTGTCAGTGGGAACAAGATGAAGAACTCCTAGACTGCAGAGAGCTTAGTGGATCACACTTGTTTGAAGTGCCCTAGTCCTCATCCCAAGTGGCTGGGATCTGTTTTGGAGCACATTGAACTAAACAGTATTAAGACAGGGTGGAGGAATGTTAAACCTCCAGGTCCATCAATTATGTACCTGCAGATAAATGGTTCTAGTGAGCTGCTGATGAAATGTCAGAGGCCTGGATTGTAAGACCTTGTGCGAATGTGTGACAAAGGTAGAGGATTATAAGGAGCTTCCAAAGCCTTTACACAGATCAAGAAAAACTCAAGCTCTTCTAGGCAAAAGAACATAGTGAGCACTCTCTCCTTGTTCCCCTGAAGACACCTGTTCCAACAGGAGAAAAAGTGCAGCCTTATTCACCAAACCCAAAAAGAAGCTCTTCCTATAAAACAGCATGACATGAATAACTTTACCAATGCCATGCCTGTCTCCTGGACTTTTCCACTGGGAAGCAGACAGATTTTTAACTGGCTTCATCCCAAGTGCTGTGTTTTCTCTACCTGGCAATTCTGAAGTTTTAAAATATGCATCTGAGTACAAATAATCAAAAATCAGTTTTCTAAAAAGTCTGATCTAAAATCAGTTCTGTTTTTTGGTTGTAAGACTGGTTTGGGTTAATTTGTTTGGGGATTTTGTTTGTTTTCAGTGTTGCAACAACATGTATGTGAAAGGCACCTGAAGGATACAGATTGCTACTGATTTCCTGTAAGTACTGGCATAGTCAAACCTGCTTGTAGGCCACTTGCATTTAGTGTCAGAGACAGACTTCTGAATTACTGCAGTGAACTTTCAGTGATCTAGGAAAACACTCTGCTTATGGTGAAATATATTCTTTGAATTTGGTCATTAGCAAACTAAACTGGAATTCAGTCCAACTGCTGGAGGTGCTTCCTTCTTTCCATGGAAAGCAGCCAACTAACACAGAGGATGTAAAAAGTAGAGGATTTACCTTGGTTTCCCAACAGTTTTTTCCACCACAAGTCTCATAACCCTTTGCTGATCAAAAGGGCCTTTGTCAACCTTAGAAATGTTAGCTGGGCAAGCATCCA